AAAAAAAAAAAAAACTTTCAGATACAAGGGCTCAGAAACGTGCCTCCCCCTCAAGCTTGCCCTCATCTGACCCCCACCCTACTCCCTACCCGAGATCCTCTTGGAATTTTCCATCCTTTCCATCCATGGCTCACTGTTCTCTGTCTGCTTCTGGCCTCTTCCTGGCCTGAACCTCCTCCCCCCGGAAGAGGCCAGTCCGCTTCCCCTCCTCTAAGGAAACCGGTGGGAAATTCTCCTCCACATTTCCTTCAGCGGCTCTTTTTTTTCCCAGCCCCCACTCTGACTCTCCTGAGAGCTAGTCTTCTCTCATTTTTCCCCAGTTCTCACCAGACCATGAGATCTGAGTGTCTAGAATGTTCCATGTGCTTCCTGCTTCCCTTGCCTGGAATGCTTTTTCCTGCTGTTACTTCATCTTTAGCTCTGTTGGTTGATGTTCTCTCCACAGAAAAATGCCGCACAAGCACCGACCCCCATCACCCACCTCCACCCCATTAGCTTTGACCCTTTAGTGTCCTTGACCAGCCTCAGTTTTACCTATGTTTACAATAATTGTTTACAATAATGTTTACAATTGTTACAATAATTGTGTTACAATGTTTACAATTGTTACAATCATTGTTTACAATAATGTTTACAATAATCTGGAAGCAAATATATATTGTATTGTAGCTTGTTTAATGCGTTTTTTCCAGTAGACAGTTAGCTGTAGTCTCATTATACCCAGAGTTCAGGGGGTAAGAATGCAGTCTGTTTGGCCTCTGTTTTCCACTCCTCTGGCAACAACAGATCTCTAGCCTCTTGTGGTTATGTGGCTACATTCTTGTTAAGGAGGTGTGAGAGGAAGAGAGAAGAGTGAATAACTGTGGCTTTGCTCTTAAAGGGAACCCTTCCTTCCACGGTCCCTCTTCTGCTGCCTAAAGACTGTCATAAACCTGACTAAAGTCAACAGCTCAGATATGGACAACAGGACAGGAAGCTCCGACCCCAAGGGCCGAGCTTAGAGTGGTCTATCAATAGTGTTCTTGGACTGCTTATTTATTTTGTAGGGCTGGGGTTTGAATCCTAAGTCTTACACTGGGCATTGAGTTACATTTGCAGATCTTCTTGAACTACTACATGAATATGAGAGAGAGAGAGAGAGAGAGAAAGAGAGAGAGAAAAATTGAAAGATTAGATTGCTGAACTCCAGACTTCTTCCTGAAAACTACATCCTTCCTCCACAGGAAGTACTTTGGACTCCCTCTGTGTTCACTTGCTGTTCCTCATTTTCTTTTCCTTTCGCTCATGGATCCCACAAATATTTATTATATTCAATGATCTATTTATATAACCTTTCAATTTTTTATTATCTAGTTATCTGGGCGCCCTCTATGAGACCCACTGCCTCCAGTCATCAATCTTAAATTACAATGGGCAAAGAATATTTAAGTGCAAATACCTTCTTACAGGTTATATTTGGAATCTAAACATGTCCTCGCCTCAAGGAGAGATGGGATAGCCATGCCGAAACAAGCAAAATCCAAGTCGGTGTGGAAAGGATTAAGGGTATCTTGAGTTTCAGGGGGGTTGGTGAAGACAGTCTCTCGCACAGATGCGGTAGCCTGTTGTCCAGATGTAAGCGTGGTGACATGGTGACACACACCCGTAACCCCACACATACACTCAGGAGGTGAAGGTAGAGGACCGGGAGTTCAAGGTCAGTTTGGGCTTTAAGAGACCCTGTCCCGAAGAACTAACCAACCAAGTAAATAAGAATATGGACCACAGCGGTGATCTCTTGACTGTTTTGGGTTTTTGTTTTTGTTTTTGCTTTGGTTTTTTTTTTTTTTTTTTTTTTTTTTTTTTTTTTTTTCTCCCTGTAGCCACAGCTGGGCTGGAACTCCCCAGGTAGACCAGGCTGGCCTCAATCTTACAGAGATCCAGCTACCTCTACCTCTGAGCACTAGGTCACACCCTGCTGTTGACCATTTCTGTTTCCATCACGTAGCCCTTGAATTGGTCAGTCTAAAAGTTCTTCCTAAAATGAACATTTGATTGTGTCTGATTCCTGCTTTGAATCCTTTATTGGATATCGATTGCTCTTTCAATAAACACCCAAATTCTCTCTGAGGCCTGTGAGCCCTTGGGGGAGCCTCTTTCTGCCACCCCCACCTGCTTATGCCTCCCTCTCTCCAATACTCTGCATACCAAACCCATCTGCCTTCCTTGGATCTTTCCAGAGTGCCACCTCTGACCCAGGGCAAAGTTTCAACAGGTTCTGTCTTTTGCCTGGAGTCATCCTCCTGTCCCCATCAACACATACTTAAGTCCTTCTGAAAGCCACATTCCTAGAAACTAGCTTTGCCCAAGTCTTCTGACTTACTCCCATTCTCCTTCCCCGGTGTAATGGTTAAAATTATCAATTTGCAGAATCTAGAGTTACTATCGAACAAGCCTCTGGGTGTGTCTGTGAGTGAGTTTCTAGGCTGGGTGGAGGAGAGAGGACCCCAGCAACATCCCATGGGTTGGGGTTCCAGGCTGGGTAAGGAGAGAAAGCAAGCTGAGCACCAGCATTTGTTGCTTTCTGCTTCCTGGCTGCAGACAAGAGTGACCAGATGCCTCATGTTCCTTCCACCAAGAGATTCTCACCATGATAGTCTGTACCCAGCAACAGTGACCTGAAACAAAGCCTTTCTTCCTCAGCTGCTTCATTGGGTGTTTTACCACAGCAACAACGGAAGTAGCTCTTTAAAAAAATTTTTTTTTATTATTTGTGTGTGTGTGTGTCTGTGTGTATGTATGTATCTTCATGATGTGGGAGGGGGTACATGAATTCCATGACATGTGTGGAGGTCAGAGGACAATGTTATGGAGTCTGATCTCTTTCTACCTTTGCATGGGTTCCAGTGGCTGAGTTCAGGTTGCCAGACTTGAGTAGTTAGTGTTTTTATCTACTGAGCCATCTACTGGTCTCAAAAGTAACTATTAATCATCTAATAAACAACAGTATATTAATAATAGTATATAGATTTATGCTTTATACATTGTTTTGGGGGTTTATTTTTGGAGCTCACAGGCCAGGGCTCTTACCTGCTAGGCAGACACTCTATGCAGAACTATTCTCAGAACCCCTATAGTTTTTCATAGAATGTTTACAGCTGTAATTGTAAGTTTGTAAGCATATTTGATTCACCTGTATTTTATTTATTGCCTACAAGTTTCGTGACGAGCAGTAGCATATCTTTTTGATGTCTTGTGGGGAGTGTCCTGGTTTGCTTCTCTCTTGCATAACCAAAAGCAGCTTGGGGGGAAAGGGTTTATTGGGCTTACAGGTTACAGTCCATCATTGAGGGAAGACAGGGCAGGAACTGGGAGGCAGGAGCTGAAGCAGAGACCATGGGGCTGCTGATTACTGGATCATTCTCAGCCTCGTGTTCAGATGCTTTTCTTTCTATTTATTTATTATTTTTATTTTATGTGTATGAGTATATTGCCTGCATGTATGTAAGTGCATATGTCATGCAATACTCACAGAGGTCAGAGGGGGTGTCAGATCCCCTGGAACTGGAGTTACAGATGGTTGTTAGCTACCATGTAGGTGCCTGGATTCAAACCCAGGTCCTCTGCGAGAGCAGCCAATGCTCTTAACTGCTGAGCCATCCCTCCAGTCCTCAGCTGCTTTCTTCTATAACCCAGGCCCACCTGTCCAGAGCTAGCACTGCCCACAGTGGGCTAGGCCCTCCCACATCAATTAGCAACCAAGGATATGCCCACAGATGTGGCCACAGGCCAATCTGATGGACACAATTCCTCAGCTGAGTTTCCCCATTCCTAGGTAAGTCTAGGTTTGTGTCACATTGATAATAACTAACCAGTACAGAGACTTCATACATTTTGGTTGGGTCCATGAAGGAATGAATGAAGACCACTCATGAGGTAAGGATGGACCACCCTGCCTGTCTCCTCCATCAGCCTGTTCTTATGGCCAAGAATTCTCTTTATTATTTTTATCTGATGAAACCACATGGATTGGGAAATTTATTAAGAGCCTCTGACTTTTGATTGTTGAGTCTGAAATACATGTTTATTCAGGCCTTAATTCCATCTGCAAGTACCAGTCAGAAACAATATGGGTAATGGGGCACTACCTCAGTTGGTAGAGTGCTTATCTAGCATACACGAAGCCCTGAATCCAATCTCCAGAATCACATAAACCAGGGATGGAGGTACACACCTGTAATTCCAGCACTTGGGAGGTAGAGGCAAGAAGATCAAAAGTTCAAGGTCACCCTTGGCTGATATGAAGTAGAAACTAGTCTGAACTGCATGAACTTCTGTCTCAAGAAACAAGACATAATATGAGGGCCTGAAAGACGCTCAGCAGATAAAAACACTTGCACAAGCCTAATGACATGACTTTCCTCCTGGAAACTCATGCAAAAAGCTGGATGTTGTCACTTGCTCTTAGAATCCCAGTACTCTTAGGCAAGAGGGAGGCAGAGATGGGAGAATTGGCCCAGACCTCACACACAGTCAGCAAGGCAGCAGAAACCATAAGAGAGACCCTGCCTCAAAAACAAGATGAAAGGAGACATTAGAATAATATCTGAGGTCCAAGGACCCCACTGACAGCAGAGAGATCACAGCCATGTGACCTGTGAATCAAAGGTTTACTGGACTCTCCTGGGTAAATGCTCATGTTTTGTTTTGTTGGTGTTTTAAAACAAGGTCTCATGTAGCCCAAGTTGTTCTCAAACTTAGCCTGGCCTTGAACCTGTTCCTATTGTCTCCACCTCCCAAGTGCTGGGATTACAGGAATGTGGCATCCTGCCTGACTCTACACACGTCTTAATAAACTGCTAAGTAACTCTTTTCAATTAAGGTGCTACTTTTAGGTCTCAATATCTTTTTATGGTCTTTTTGAGACAGGGTGTCCCTGTAGCCCCAGCTGGCCTGGAACTCACTATGCAGATCAGATTGGCCTTGAACTCATAGAGATCTGCCTGCCTCTGCCTCCTGAGTGCTGGGAATAAAGATGTGTGCTACCACACCTGGCTAAATCTTTTTAAAGTGTCTGTTTTCTAGTATGTCAAATGAAATGGTGCTCTTTCAAGTATTAAATTAAATAATCCATGTAAAAATCACATAGTAAAGGCTTGGTAAAGTTGACTTTGAGACTACAGAGTTTTGAGACATGGTCTCCCTGTAGCCCCAGCTGTCCTGGAACTCACAGAGATCTGCCTGCCTCTGCCTCCCGAGTGCTGGGATTAAAGGCATGTATCACCACACTCAGCTCTCATTCCTTTTTTAAAAATGAAATCACTACAGATGCTTTCTGAGGCCCTAGTAGCTCCG